TCCTTCAAAACAACTAATATCACTTCTTCTTTTTCCGTTGTGAAAGAGAATTATTTTATATGGTCAGGTGCTCACCCAGTCCGATGAACTTAGGGAGGTCTGCTTCCTTGAATCCACAAAGGGGTGCATTATGCAGATGCTTGGCTTTGGGGATGCTGTTGTTATGTGCCCTGCTTACAGGAAAAGGTCCCCAAATTTTAGTTGGATATGATGTCGTGCTCCAATTTTACATTCAGGTTTGCACTGTCAATTCTCTGGCTTTGCTCTGAGATTAACTATTTGCTATTCGGTGATTTGTCATGGCTTTGCAGGTACTGATCAAATTAGTGAAGCAGGAAATGGCATGAAGATCAATAATATAAGGATGTAGCACAGCTGGGCAAGGGGCACCTGCAGTTGTAACTCAGACGTACCCAAGGTTCATTCAGTTTCCCTCCTAGAACAAGTAACATGTTCATGTTTCCACGATGCTAAGGCCAAAAGGCATGTCATTTTCTGCTTGACATTAAAATAATAATTTGTTTATGAAATAGTGGTCATGTACGTGCGGTACGCACGTGTCTATGGCACAACAAACTCATATCTAAATGTGTAATGGAAGTTGTTCCTATCAACCAGGAAACTTCTTCATTAGCAATATCATAAGCCTCGGTCAACAATCATAAATTCATAGTCATGTAACATTGAACTGAACTGGTGTAGTAAGTTATTGCAAAAATGTTTTCCAGTTCTTAACCGAAACGGATCAATTATTCATGTGCTTCCAAAAAGCCAGTATGAGCTTCAATGACCCTTACATTTTTAGGTCATGCTATATTGTAAATAAAAAACATACCTGTAGATAAAAATCATTTACCCTGCTAGAAATGAAAAAGGATATCGAATGTGGGTGTCGAGTTTTTACTTCGATAAGGTCAGATAGAGTCTCTAAATAGAATGAACAAATATTATGAATAAGATCTCATAAGCTATCTTTTTGAACATGGTGTTTATACTCTTTTAGCAGCTATTTCATACAGCAAATGTCAGGGATCAGCTAAAGGATATAGAAGAAATCTGTATTTCATTGCATTTTCCCGACAAATTTTAGAGTTCAATTGCTAACAATGCAAGCCATAATTGCCAGCTTTATACGCGTCCCTAATTTTTTTGCCACTCTTATGTTTGGTGCATATATCTCGTCGGAGCTCAGGCCATCGAGGTCCAATTCTGATGGGGTCCACCGTCCACATGCATGGGCTCTATCATCTTTCTCAATAAACTTATCATGCGGCCCACTAAGATCTTGTAGGAACTCAACCTCTTGTCTCTGCTTATGTGCTTGATCTACTTGTGCCCGCTTCTTGGCAGGTTTGGCTCTTGTTGGCTTCACAACTTTTTTTTGGCTTCAGAACATGCACATGTAGAGATAGTTTTTTAAGAACATTGTGCAATATAAAAAGGATAATATCTCACTCTAGTTCATACGGGTCATTCTCCAAGATCAGGGGTGTGGGAATCATTAAATCATCATCTCAATTTCAAATAAATACTTTAGGGACACGAAAGCTCATCAGGGAATCACAATGTAGCTGAGAAAACTACTCTATTCATAAACTTGTCTTTGCTGTCCAGTTAAGCAAAAGGGGCTTTAGAGTCCAAACCTTGCTCAAGAAGGAAGAGCAGAAAATAGTTTGGGCACGCAGGAATCGTTAAATCGTCCAATTTCAAATAAATATATATTCAGGGACACGAAAGATAACCAGGGAAACACACTAGAGCTGAGAAAACCACTCTATTCATAAACTTGTTTGCTGTCCAGTTAAGCAAAATAGGATCTAGACCTTGCCCAAGACTTAAGAGCAGAGAGTTGTGGTTACTTTTTCAATCCCTTTCTCCAACCCAGTGTCTTCAGAAAGTCTACACATAATGCAAAGTCAGATACATCATTGTACCACTCAGTTCTGAACTACAGTAACATACATATATAGGAGAAATCATTGTTTGTTTACTGAAGGGGAATCAACTTACATTGGCCATATCAATTGTAAATCCACCGAATGCCCTGAACAAGAAAACTTCCATGAGTTTACAAATTAATTAAGAATAGCTTCACAAAAAATGTGTTGTTTCCATAAGAGCCAGAAAGTTGTCAATGTAAAGAGTTTCTGACTGAATTTACGACTGGGTCCGCTTGTCATACCAGACTGAGAGATTTAGATGCGTTAGACCTGAGTTTAAAGTAGATCCAACGGACAAGAATCAAGGTGGTTAGAACATATTTGTGTGAGAATTTATTTTTAATTCCTTCGCGCTTTTATAGTATAGATTTACCATTGTGTTTGTTTCCATATCTCATGAAAAGTTTGTGATCGTATCTTATATGCAAGGAGGCAGTGAGAAATGTTTTTTTCAATGAATTGGCAAGACATTGTAGCCATCCTTTTCTGATCCCGATTTCATTTTATTTTCTCTCTCCTTCCATGCATTTGAGCTACTCTTTGTTCTGTATATTTTTATAAGGATTTTTCAGTTAAGGTTGGCTGACTTGTTGACGATCTCCTCTACAGCAGCCTGAAGTAAACCTTCCCTTTGCTGACATGAACACAGTCCATGCCAACCATTAGGCAAGACGAATACGCAAGGCCAGTCTCTGAACTTTGACAAAAAAATATCTGAATTTTATACCTGAACATTATGTTGACTTTGCGACAAAACAAGCAGTGGTTTCAGGACAGCTCAAAGGACATCAAGAGCCTCTGCGGGATGGCTCTACAGATGCTGCACACCCACAAATGTTGGGAGGTAAGTGCAGTTTAGCTTGTGGAGAACACATGACAATTAATGGTGCCATGTGTGTGTAATCTGAATTCTAAATCAGGATGCTGCAAAAATGTGTGCGTAGGTGTCGTCAGATGTACTTCCATGAGATGATCTTGGAGATAACTGGTGCGATCATCATGTCGATGACATGGCTGCATACTTAGACTGCCACACAGGGCGACAGTGTACGCGCTGCAGGCCGACACATTGAGCACAAGGGAGCTGGACTACATCAACAGAGGTAATGGACTATTCTGATACATCAACAGAGGATTTTTTTTTATTCCCCTTTTTTGCAAAGCTTGTAGAAAATGAATTTGTTCATTTATGATCCATGTGCTAACACTAGGTGCAAAGATTGACATTAGTTGGAGATGAACTTTGCCTTGTGACCAGTTGGCAGGGGATTCACTGAACTTATCTAGACAGTTCAATGCTTTCTCAAGGTCAACTCCCACTTTTTTTTCTCTATTCTACGTTTTTTTCCTTTTATCTGTTCAACAGGTGGCTAGGTGCTCCTTTTCAGTTAGCAGATGCATTGATATTATACTATTTTTTCCAAACCTTTTCTATAGGTCGACTAAAAAGTTGTTGAGTATGATTTAGAAATCCTACCTGTAGGGAAAAATGGTGCAAGATTAAAGCTCCATTCTATTTGTTGAGTTCTGCAAGTTATGATTGCTGGTTTCAATCAAGTTTAGAAATATGTTGATTTCTAGAAGTTTTCCTTGCAGATGGTTGCATCTTACCCAGAAACAATTATTTGCATCTCCAAGTCAATCTTTGCACCTGGTGTTAGCACCTGTTTATTTATTCATGATTTTTGTATTTCTTCTAGAGACATGATCCAATCTTTATGTAATACGAGCTAGATGCTGATTTTGATAGTTAACGTTTTGCCTCCACGTAAGCAACCTGAGCCACCGCAGTTGTGGGGAGCGGAGGGCCATCATGATCGGGACAGTGTGGCGGCCATGGTGTTGGCGGTGGCTTGCGTGGCAGGCGCACGATGGCAGATTGGAAGGTTGAACTTTTCATATCTATGTATGCAACAAAAGCAAGACCTAATGCTCGCGATATGGGATTAAGAATACTGTATTCTAGAGGAAACCCACAAGGCCACAACAAATGAGGTGAAGCTAGGAAGGACAATAGAGGATTCATGGATTTGTACAACACACGTATTAATTTAAAATTATCGTTCATTATTTTGTTCTTGTCACAACGAATGTGATGTCATTATTTGTTCCCGTTGCAAGGTCTATAAAGTAGATCTGTTGGTGAGCTTGCGATGCCGCGCTCTTAGTGACTGTATTAATTTATAAAACTTTGCTTTTTATTATATATCACTTTAATGTTGGTATTTAATTTCACAATATTATTATTTTATCATGCGATCCGTGTGCTTTTAGTATAAAAGTTTAGTTGTTCAGTAGCAACGCACATGCATACTACCTAGTAGATGATAGAACTACAAACCATCTCATCTGCATGATGACACTATTCGTTCGACATGGATTTTTTTTAAAAAAAAATGAGAATTCAAATCGGTGGATATTATTTGCTGATATTGTCCATAGTTTATCCTTGATAGGTGGCCAGGTCTTTACTCGTTAAATCCCTCTCTGGAACATAGGAATTTCGATGGAATTGTACAAGAAGTAGAAATCCTTGAAGGATTTTTGGCCTTCTGGTACTAGTTAGTATATATAATCAACATTTCTGGAAAGTAAAACGAGAATTCGTAAGAACTATATACTGCTAGGTCCATTTTTCTTTAAGAACTATATACTACTAGGCCTTTTTCTATTTAGTCTTGTACCATAATTCTATATATTCAGGTTGGTTGCAGTTGCCTTCTCAAATTCCATGTGTTACTTTATGCTGCTGCTTGTCACCAGGAGTTTACGAATGGTTATGTTTGTTGTTCACTGTGAACTTTAACTTTATTTTTTATAATAACCCGTATATTAAAGTATATTAAAATAGAGATAACATGTACAAAGATTTTGAAACCCCCGTCCCAAAGTACAGACTTGTAGCTGCCTATCTATATCTATATACTATAAAAGAGTCAATACAATGATTCGAATAAGGACGCTCGTTTTCGTGGTTATGCTTATTGTTTACTGTTAACTTGGCTAAAACTCTGAATCCTCGGTCACTTCTTGTTATTTGTGCAGTCTTCTTGCATGACGATGGGCACACGATCTTCGCCTTGGCCAGACCTTCAGCCGGAGCTTCTGGGTCTAGTCTTTAAGAGGTACCCCTCCCTTGCTGATCGCGTTCGAGTACGAGCAGTCTGCCGCACATGGCGCGGCAATGCTCGACTTGAGCCCCTGCCCCCGCCGCTCCCCTGGGTGGCCTTATTTGATGGGACCTTCCTCAGCATTCCAAGTGGTGAAATTCACCGTATGCCTGTACCGAGTGGTGCTTCTTGCCATGGTTCTGTGGACAACTGGCTCTTCCTCGTGCACAATAACGGTCGGTGCTCATTGATGAACCCTTTCTCCAAGGCTAAGTTACAGCTTCCTGACCTGACCACTATTTGGCGTCATGAGATGAGGACCGTGAAGTATAGGTATGCCTACTCTAGAAATTCATTTCTCTATAAGTTGGCAGTGCCCTCGTCCGTGTCCTTGACACCAGATTCGTTTTTTGCTGCGTTTACCACGGACAGCTTTTTTCATGGTACAATTTCTATTTTCCAGCCCCCAATTGCCACCGACACAGTCAGCAACAAAGATATTAAGAGCATCGTTGATATTGTGTTCTTTGATGGAAAGCTGTATGCTCTCAATGTGTATGCAAATCTATTTGTCTTGGAGATTGGCGAGGGCCACAAAGGCATGCCAAAAATATCAGTCTACCACATGTATAGTTGACTCCATTGAGGCTTCAAGGTGATGTAACCGAACCTACGACGAGAGGGTGCATGTATGTAAACTTCAATTATCTGGTTGAATCTGATGGTAAGCTATTGCATGTGAGGAGGGATGTTGCAATATTGTTCCCCCTAACAGATGAGCATTTGGTGCGTGCACGTACTGTTTGGTTTGATGTCTTTGAGGCAGACTTGACTGCAGATTCTTGCCGTAAGTGGAAGATAGTCAATACATTGGGAGGCCAAGCACTCTTTGTCGGCAGATGCTCCAAGTCCTTACCTGCTGCAGAACCTCATGTGGAGGACTGCATTTACTTCATTTCCGACTATCTCAAGACAGAACCTCATGTGGATCCTCTCTGTGATTCTGGTGTTTTCAACATGAGAAATGGGAAGATCACACCATTGTTGCCCGAGACTGTGGTGGTGCAGACACAAGGTGGCAGAAGAGGTCGTCGAACATGTTTTTTTCCCTTCTGAAGCTATGTAATCCGCTTTCCACAGAGCGTGCTTGTATTTTGGTTTTTTCATATATATCCTGAATTGGAGACTGGACTCTGCCTATCAGTATGTTGGTGATGGGTCTCTGTCCACAAGGCAAGGATGATCTTGATGAGATATGCCCCCAAGACAAGTCTTGCTTTGCATCATGTTTCATCTTTATTATTATTATTATCTGGCTATGCCGTGTTTTTCATTCACTTCTAAGATGTAAGCTTAGCAACACTGAAATAATAGACGTTTTCAGCTGAACGTTTTTCCTCAATGTTTCCATCTGATTTGTCGTGCATAGAACCATTTTATTTATGGCTTGTGGCCGTATGTGATGCATGCTGCTTCCCCGCTACTATAATGAGATTGATAAGCAGAGCTGGCAGTCATGTATGTTTGTGTGGTGGCAATGTTATGTGTTCAAACTAGAAGGAATATTCATATCAGGAGTGCAGCGTCAGTATCGTTGGAGTTACTCTGCCAGGCCATTTCTGTGCTGAACTGGTAGCTAGTCTTTGTGTTGTGTTATGAGCTGTTTCAGCTTTTCTAGGTTCATCGTGTTGTGTTGACGGCCCTTTGTTGTGCTATGCCAGTGAAACGGTGGATCATTTTGCCAACTTGCTCGACAACGTTTGGATCCAACTGGCACGGTGGATCATCCTCATCCTGTCAGGCTCCGGTTCATTGCCACGGCGCCAGCGGACCAGAACGTCAACCAAACCATGCAACACTCCTCGTCAGTCTCCCGCTACGCTGTCCTTGACAGAGCTCTTCAACACTGCTTTCAGAAAATGCATAACACTGATTTCAGAAAATGCATCAGATGTTTGAAAGCCAGTCATTCAGTAGACAAGTGGACTCATCAGCAAACTAACATTTTTGTGATTTCAGTGGTGCTTCAGAAAAGGGGATTTACAAAGAGACGAACCAGTCATTCAGTAGACAAACGGGCTCGTCAGCAGACTTCACATTTTTGTGATTTCAGCGGCACTTCAGTACACAAATGGACTCATCAGCAGACTTGACATTTTTTTTTATTTCAGTGGCATTTCAGGGGGATTTACAAAGAGACAAACTAAGAACGAGGAAGCATCAGTTGTTAGAATGGTTTCACTATACATGTCATTCATTTCATCTAGTTAAGGTTTCTATCACAACACAAAAATAGAAACTGAAAAGCACATGCACCACATCTCAGGCGAGGGCTACCCTTGGCTGAGTGAATCCTAACTTGCGTGCTGTTTTCAGGTGCTCGTCCTTTTAGCATTCTCCCTACTCAGCAGCAGCATACAGTCTTTGCCGAATTTCTGATTGGCTCAAAGTGGCATCAATGCTGAAAATTAACAGTGCAATGAATTAGACTTTTCATATTTAAAATGCTAAGGGAGTAGCTAAGGATAAGAGAGTACTGATACTTGAACATCAAACATGAGTCTTAAAAAAATGCTTACCAGCACAGGGCATCTCCGCTTCGAGCAGTTTTCTCAGAGATCCAATCTGGAACGAGCTCTTTCAACAGTGTAAGATGATCCTCAACTTCACCTACAGAAATAGTCATTCAATGTCAGAATAGTTACAAAAGATTGTGGAAACAAATGTCTAACACAGAAAAACACAGAGAGAGATAAAAGTTCACATACTTTTGTCTGCTATCTTAGGACTGCTTGCAATAATCTTGTGGATTAGCTCCTGCTTTGTCATTACAGACCGCTGTCTTGACTGATAGATAAGGAATATGGTGTCAAAGGTGCTTGGCAGGGAAGCAATCAACTTCTGCCTTTTAACCTGATCAGCGAACCCAGTTTCCTTCTCTTCCAAAGCCCTCTCTTCCTTCTCTTTCACCTGTAAGCAATACATATGTTATTCTTGGTTCATAATAGAGCAAACAGTCAACAGAAATCATTGCAGGTATTGGAAAGGACTTACCGATTGAAGGAGGGATTGTGGAAGAAAACTGAGTAACTCATCATCAGCATCAGCACCAGATATGCTTGCACTTTGCTTCTCTCCATCCATACTACTATCCTTTGTTGGAGTGGTAAACAACTTGGCACGAGCTGATCTCTTTGCCATTTTCAAAGGCGGAGTGTCATAACCTGTGGCAGAGATCGGTCTCTTTGGTGTCTTAAGGTCTGGCGTAGGCACCATTAACCTCACTGGTGTAGAGGCAAATTTTGCAGGGGTGTTTTCTAAAACACCAGACTTGCAGATGACTTCTTTAGCACTTGATTTATCATCAACACACATGCTACCAGAAACACCCCGACTGAAGAGGGAATTTCTGCTCAGTGGTGACGAAACAGTGGAAGCAACCTTCACCAGTGGACTGGGTGCGCTAGCTGTTGTAGAGCTAATTGGAGATCTCTGTGAAAACATTCTCTTGAATGACTGTGACATGTGTGACATCACAACGGTCTGCTGTCCATTGACATCAGATGGCTTGAGTGGGGACGAAGATTCAGGAACAGTCCTTTGTTCATCCTGGGGCATGCTCGATCTTGTTTGGTTAAATGGATGTGGCAACTCATGCTCAGGAATGTCATCACCCTGAAATTAACAACAGAAGCAACATTATTATAATCTTCATCTGATTAGAAGAACAAGCTTGGAACTTCTGATGAAACAGTAACCAACTGTGAAGCATAAAACGGTGTCCTTACCTCAGGGTGCTCCCTGTAGAATTCCACAAGCCTCTGCCTAAAGATCCTTCTTAATGCTAAGTACGCTGTTTCCCCCTTTTGCTTCACGACGTTCTCAACAGCACTGACTAGGAGGTTCACCTGAAGATCAGGGTACATGCAGCATGTCGTGTCATCACGCAAAAGGATCTTATTAATGACAATTGCCTCCGGCATTATGTACTTGAGCTGTGCAAGATGGCTGTGGGTAAATCTCCTGTGGACAGTCAAAAAATTAGGTAACTTATTAATACAATAATCCAGCACAGCAGTTATTGTATGACTATTTGTGAACAAGATTTATACCGCTCGGTCAAATGCTGAACGCTAGAACAGATGTTGGGGAATGTGGCCTTGGATCCCTTCATACGGAGCAGCCGGGTGGAGCTCTCCAGGCAATTGAAGAACTCGCAGAGCATCTCGTAGCTGCAATACCAGTCAAGATATATCATCACCAGAGAAACGAATCGCCTAGGAATTATTTATGTTCTACTTATTACATAAACCCACAGCTAGAGGTTCTATATTACATAAACCCACAGTCAAGATATTTGCATCCAGTTCGATTTCCAAGCGTAAACCAGATCCGAAATCACATTGGGGACAGGGATCTTTACCTCTCCGGCAGCTTGACCTCCGCCTTGCGCTTGACGGGGCTCCGGCTAGACCCGGCGCCAACGCCGAGCTCCCGCTCGACGGACTCGAGTTCATCCTCCACCGCCGCCTCAGCCTGCGCCGCCGGCCGCCGCAGCCCTAGCGCGGCCCGGCGGATCTCCTTGACAGAGAACGCCACGCTGCGGCCGCACGCCCTCGGCATCTCCTCCGGCTTCTCCGGCGTCGGGATCTGCTCGGCGGCCGTCGCCATCGCCAGCGCCGGCGCCAGCTTATTCGCGGGCTTCTCCGGCGTCCGGACCTCGTCCGCCAGAGAGGCGGACTCCCTCAGCTTGTGCGGCGGCGGCGCCGCGGCCGTCGTCGTCTTGGCCTTCTTGGACGGCCGGGCGGCGTCCATCTCAATCCTGAGAGGGGGAGGGTTGCGGCGTCTCGGTGGCTGGTGATTTGGGTCGGGGATTAACGACTGAGGGACCCGGATCAGGATGGTGGATATATACGGCGGGTTACCGGGTGGGAGATGGCGCGAAGATCTGGCGAGAACGGGGGATGGCGCGAAGACCTGGCGGGAACGGAGATGGCGCCAAGGGACGCGGGCGAGGCCACGTGGGCAAGCGAGATGGGGAGGCGTTCGCGCCACTTCGAACTAGACTGACTACAGTTGTTAAAAAAAAAACTAGACGACAGCCCATGAGCTGTCCCATATTTTATTATTTTATACACTGGGCCCAGCCCGATGGTAGGGCCCACAAGCCCACGTTACGGGGCGCGGGCTCTACCTCACCTCACCCTCGGTGCCTCCGGTCAGGCGGTCACACGACACGAGCTCTCGCCGGCTCACCGCCGCCTCGGCAAGACGGCAACGTAAGCCTCACCGGAGAAAAGCCACGATGCACCGACTCCGGCGCCCTGGCTTCCTCTACGCCGACTGCCTAAGCGCCGCCCCTTTGGAGGATCACACTACCGCTGCATTCTCTGCGGAGCGCGCTCTGCTGGGCAGCTGGGGCACTGGCGGCGGCGGCGGTGGGCCACCGCAGCCCCGCTCGAGCGCTCGCTGCTGGTCTCCGCGGAAAGTTGGTTGCCGGCCCTCTCATCTCCCCATTTCATCGCCTCGTTGGTCAGCAGCAGTGAGATTCCCATCCCTCCCAGCCGCCCAAGCAAATTCCTTGTAGTATTATTTTACTAGACAAATCTATGCCATTCGGATAATTTGGTGGTCCGAGTTTTCCCTACGCTTCTCATCTCCTCGATGGTCAGCAGTGGGATTCCATTCCTCCTGCGCTCTCAGCCTCCCTAAGCAAATTCCTACTACTTCACTAACCAAATATATGCCATTCGGATTGTGCTGAGTTTTCCCTATGCCTACATAAAGTTTGATGCTAGCTACACGTGTCTCAGGAATTGTCATTTCAGATGGGTGATTGGTGGATGTAACCTGTTAAGGGTCAGAAAGCCTTATTACAATACACATACATAGACAAAGTTGAGCTGTCTTTTGCAGCGAAATTTCATATAAGTGAGTTTTTAAAAAAATCATATAAGTGCAAGCACACAGGTCTTAAGAGTTCAGGAATCCTGAGCACACTCAGGTGGCAGTTCGAGTTGTTGATATTATTTTTGAGGCAGCACTCAGGGAAGCAATATGTACTGTTTAATGCGATGCAATTCAGAAGGCATATTTTGCAAATATTGCTGATGTTATTAGACGGTGCTTGTAGCTATTCTGTTTCTTCAACAGTTCCTTTTTCCTTGCAGGGGTCTCCTCTTATTCTCAAGCATTCATTCTTCCACAACCATCCTTCCAACTTCGTTGACCTGCGCATTGGTGTAAGCTGGTGTAGATTTCTGTTCAAACATGTATTTGAGTATCGGGATCTGTTCTTCATCGATGCCTGCAAAGCTTCTACAGTATTTCTGAAATCAGACTCAATTATAGCAGGTTTCTTGATCCATTCCACCGCAAGCTGGAATGCTGGATACCTTTAAAGCATGCTAGATGCTACAGCATCTTCTGCAGTTGTGCAACGTTGGTTCACCTTCCATGCTGACAGCAGCACTTGCCCAGAGTGATCTCTGATGACAGCACCACTACTCGATGCACAGCCGCTTGTCGTATTTGGCTTAGGCTCTGTTTGTTTCGACAAGTGCTTCTAAAATTTTTTGTCATATTGAATATTTAGACATGAAGTATTAAATATAGACTAATTATGAAATTAATTACACAACTTGCGACTAAGTTACGAGACGAATCTTTTAAGCCTAATTAGTCTATGATTTGACAACGTTGTGCTACAGTAAACATGTGCTAATGACAGCTTAATTAGGCTTAAAAATCGTCTCGCAAATTAGCCTCCATCTATGTAATTGGTTTGTAATTAATCTATATTTAATGCTCTTTATTAGTATCTAAATATTCGATGTGATATAAATTTTAGGAGCGACTAAAGAACCAAACACCTCCTTATAAGCCATGGCTTATGTGTCAACGAACAGTATTTTTTTCTCACACCAAACCAATCAACAATACTTTCAGTCATGACTTATAAACCAAGTCCAAACGAGCTGGGCAATTTGCCAAAAGTGCATCGACATTCAGTTTTACCCATCCCTCTGGCGGTATAGTGAAGTCCACTTCCTCTCCTTACCATCTATCTTCAGTGTCACGTTCCTTTTCAGTTTCCAGCCACTAGCCATTACTCCCTCCGTCTCACAGGGACCGTCGCTGGGGATTTCAAAAATTTTCCCACAGAGACCGTTGTTGGGCAACGCGGCAGCACTTAAATGGCTCCGTTCGTTTCTTTTATAATCTGTCTCTTTTTTTAGTTTTTTTTGTCGAAATAGTGTTTTTCTCTCGCATCAAATCAACCGAAACAGAGTTTCGATTGTTTTTTTAGCAAAACGAACAGGACCAATATAATTAAAAAAAGTAATTTCTCGTCCACTCGTTTCTAGCAGCAGCACCGTAATAAAAAAAAATAAAAATTGTCGTCCACTCGTTTCTCTCCCTGGCTGCATGGTACTCCGTATCTCTCTAACCGCCTCCGCCATAGCCGCCCCACCCGCACGGCTCTGTCCTCTTCCTGCCCGACGGCGCATGGGGCTCGGCGCGGCTAGGAGGGAGCGCGTAGGTGCGTGGATGCCATGGACGGACGCAGGCAGCATGCCGAGCGTGGAGAACGGCGACGGGTGGCTCGAGCAGACACGGCATGTGGGCTCGTCGGCGCTCGACGGGCTGCGTGGCGCTGTTGCGATGCGTCGGCCACGGCACGGGCGAGTTCGGCGGCGGGCGGCGCGCGCAAGGCCGCGGTGTGGTGGCGATCGCGAGGCCGGACTAGGATGCGGCGGACTGGAGAGGGCCACTACGTAGCCGAGTTCGGGGACCGGATCGAGGGCGAGGATGATGAGGTTGCGGTGGAAGCGGCCGGAAATCTTGTGAAGTTGAGCGAGCTCGGGAACCTTCCAAGTCCATTCAAGAATGGGACTGAACTTTACAGGGGTACTATCGTAAATTTACAGCTATCCTTGGTATCCGTATCAAGTCCTACAACCACAGTGTTTGCGGGACGGAGGGAGTGGAGATTTGCCTAGCGTCTTCAGACCCCATGTCGGATGCTCAGCACTGATCGCCGATAATAACTGACAGCGAAGCTAACTGATCCAGACACTGATGCTTTACCACTGCCATGTATTGCATCATTCCACAAATGCATGCTCTCCAGAAGCAGAATAGTAGATGGTCTCTTTCCTCGATTTCTGTCTTCTCTAGCAAAATGAGAAACCATTCCAGTCCTGTTCTCAGCAGGTCATTTTCGGGAACTAGCTCCCACTCATTCATTCCAGTCCTATTCTGAAGAGATCAGTGTTTATGATTGCATCTGTAGAGAAACTCAGAATGAGCTGAGATGTATGAAGAGGTGGAGAAGTGCGAAACAGTTCTAGTTCTGTACTTTTTTTTAGAGAGAAAAGTTCTATTTCTGTACTTGTGTCCTGGTAAATTAATTTTTCCTTTTACTTTTGCTGCACATCCATGCAGGTGTTCTATTCCTTGTGTAGGCAACTTATAGCATATAGAACAATCACTGGCAGTGTTTCTCCCCCTTGTGCGGCTTGTAGTTGGGCAAACGTCTAAATTGTACTGTATTGTTTATTCAACTCACTTTACTGCAAAGAACAAAAAAAAAATTCATCTCGTCTATCCCATTATCATTTCGCCCAATGAGCTAGAACACACCGACTGGTTGTATTGTTACTAAACATCCGCTGAATCAAATCATTCTACTGCTTCTCGTGCCCTATAGAGAATCCATGGAGAACATTAAAAGCTGTTTGAATCCTATAGGATCTTAAGAATCCGGCTAAAAAAACATAAGTGGACGTTTGGATCCCTTTATTTTGAAGGGATTGAAATCTACATAATGGATTAGGCTATTTGTTTGGAATTTGACATTCCATAACATTTTCAAGCTCACAAATAAGTTTATCTCAAATTCATAGGGTGAGAGATGAAAATAGATTCTATAGATCACTATGTTGTAATTCTATTCTCCAACTTATAGCACACTCTTCAACTCACATAATAGAAATGCAACATATAAGTAGGTCCGTATGCCTAACAATAAATATACAAATATATTCCATATATAACTATATTAGCTTAATTAATCTATACCTAAATTATAATTATTAGAATAAATCCAATTCCATGGGTCTAAACAGGCCCTAATAGTTTATTAGATTTTGGGACGAGAATCTAGGAGTTAAAATCCCTCTAGAATCTAGACCATTGGATGACATAGTGGGATTCTAAGATCTTTTTAACCAGATTCCCAGAATCCATGGGACTTTTTTTTTAATCAAGAATCCCATGGGATTCAAACGGAGCCAGGTTACTTTTGCTATATGTCCAGCCATGTCCGATTTTGACCGTTTTATGTGCCCATGATGACGTGCTAAACACTTAGCAGGAAAAAAAACTATGAAGAAAATTGAAATTACCCCTGAAATAACAAATCTTTTTTTCCAAAACCGGTAAGTCCCTTTGTTTTCACGTTGTAGTATTAAGAAACTGTAATATTAAAAAATTATATGGCTTAGAAAAAAAAGTAATCTAGAGAGAATTTTTTTATATAAAACTAAAAAAAGACTACAACTTTACCCGCACTACAACTTTCGTCTAGTCTCTTGTTCCTCCCCAAATTGGGCCAAACCCTAGGCAGGACGCAACTCGCAATAGACGACGACGCGGCCACGCGGGCGGCGCCGCGGTGGCCGGCGGGTGCAGCGAGGGGGAGGGCCAATCCGCCAAGGTAGGCGGCGGGCTGCTGGACAACGCGCGCGAGATCTTGCTCGACATCGCGCTCCCGCGGGACGACACGAACGTGCACAAGCCACAAGGGGAGGTACGTAATGCTCTGGCATCACAAGGATCGACCTTAAATTTCGACACCATCTGATGATTGCTACGCCAGGGACCCAATCTGGATAGGAGGAAGCCGTGATTTAGCTAATTTTGTGTAGTTTGAATATTGGAATGCTCGTTTTAGCATGTCAGAGCAGACTTGTGACTCTAATTTGGGAGTGAACGACTGCCATTTGGATGAACGGAGATATTTCATTGCTGAATATAGAGTAGCATCGAAAAGTTAAAAATTATGTACCTTTTATTAGTATTTTTTTGTTGAATTTGTTTTGTGCTCGGGAAAAGGGAATACCCAAATGCAGAATCCTGGCACCACCACCTGTTTGGAGCACAGGAGTGTAGAAATCCTGCAATAATGTAGCAAAATTACAGCCTTCCAAATAAAGATGGGGGTTCTTTACTTTGGAGTTTGCTAAACCCTGAGCTTATCTTTCTGCTATCCAAAACTATGTGCTGCCTTGTTGAATATTATACGGTTCTATTTCACTCATGTTAGTTACACGTTGTTAAGTCTGTTGTTTGTTAACTCTGATTCTATGTCATTTCTTCTCAGGCTGCACTTTTCATGATGGAGGCACAATCTTCATCTTGGCCAGACCTCCAGCCAGAACTCTTGGGACTTGTCCTAATGCGGCTTCCCTCCTTAGCTGATCGTGTTCGACTAAGGGCAGTGTGCCGCCCATGGTGCTCCAATGCTCTGTTGCAGCTACTGCCACCTCCGCTTCCATGGCTCACCCTGCTTGACGGAACCTTCCTGACAATCCCAGATGGTAAAATTATCAGAATGCTGGGATCAGATGATGCCCGTTGCTGTGGTTCTGCTAATGACTGGCTCTTCTTTGTGCATCATGATGGTGGGTGCTCAGTGATGAACCCTTTCTCCAAGGCCACACGGAACCTTCCTAAGCTAGACATCAAGTGGTTCAATGCAAGCTCCAGCTATAATTCTTATTTTACTAAGCTGGCAGTGCCCTCGCCCATGGAATCATCACCAGGTTCCCTTGTTGCTGCGTTGATCTTGGGCAGTGGCCGTACAATTCGTATATTCCAGCAATCAATTGGAACCTACTTGGCCATAGAGAGCAACCTCGGTCGTTTTAACCACCTTTCTGATATTGCTTTCTTTAATGGGAAGTTGTATGGTGTTGATCTTCGCTGCGAGCTCTCAATATTTGAGATTACTTATGGCCTTGATAGTGAGCCGACGATATCATCTGTCAAATGCATAACTAGGCCTACTAAAAGACTTGCACTGCCCCAACCTTTGCCCCATGGGAAATTGTACATGCAGATGAGTTATCTAGTTGAATGTTGTGGTAGACTATTGATGGTGATACGGATGGTTCAGTGGGATTGTGCATTAAGTCATGGCCCCAGTCAGGGTGACCGCACTGTGGCATTTGAGGTCTTTGAGGCAGACTGGAGCACCAAACCAGGCCAATGGAGATTTGTCTCTAAGTTGGGTGGCCAGGCACTCTTTGTTGGGAAGCATTGCTCCAAGTCTTTCCCAGCTGGAGGGTGCACTGGAATTCAAGAGGACTGCATACACTTCATGTGTGACTACTGTCCAGCGGGCCTTGCTGTTGACCCTCTTCGTGACTCTGGTGTGTACAACATGAGAAATGGGATCATCACTCCTTTGTTATCAGAGACTGCAATTACTCCGCAGCATAGTGGTGGTCAGGGGCACCCAACGTGGATATTCCCTCGTGATGCTATGTAATCGGTCCAACTTTACTTTGCTGTTTTGGGATTGAGTATGCACTCTTAAATGTTGCTCAATGTTTTTTTATTTTGTCTAGTGACAATTTGTTTACTTATGCTGATGTTTTATGGCAAGGATAATTTCCTTTCACAGAATGTACCAGAATGTTTTGAGCTGGTTGTGGACTTTATATTTTTCTCTCTCTCGGTATGCCAGTTCGTAGTTTTGGTTTATGACATGTAATCAGTGTCTGTATGCTACATATTTGGACCTGACTGCATTTCTTGCTTTGTCATCTGTTGTACAGTTCCATCATATTGATACCCTTAATCGGCCACCCACTATAACAGGGTGGCATTTGTTTTGTTTTTCCTAAGGATATCATATATAGGATTCTGTGATTTTCTGTTCGGATCCCTTGTGGAGTGTTTTTTTTCCCTTTTGTAAAATTTTGGGGAGTTCGTTGCAGCTATTGAATCAAACGTTCCCTTCAGATTTGTGTGGTACTCCTTTTTTTTTTGCACTTCTCTTATATCTCAGTGCTTGATTTTTTTTATGTTGTTAAGGGAACATGTATTTTATGATTGTTTGGCTATAGAAAGAAAATGTGAATTGTGAGTTGTTGTTTTATTGTACTAGTTGATTGTTGCTTGAAATTTTTTCTAAAGATTCTGGCAACTCCCATTTTTTTATAATGCATGTGTGTTTCACCTTATGTAATTTTGGCTCCATTCGCTTCACTGAAAAAACAAGTCAAAACACTGTTCCGGTTGATTTGTTGCGAGAGAAAAACACTGTTCCTACTTAAAAAACAAACTGAAAAAGATGAATTACAAGAGAAATGAACAGGGCCTTTATCTATACGCAGTAAATATAGAGTTATGAAATTGCTCGGTAGAACGAGCACAACTCTACGTTGCATTTCCCACGACCAACCGAATGGCTGTAACCGACGCAAAAGCAAAGTACACAGCTGGAGCAGGAGATAAGCGCAAGGACGGTGCGTCATCAACAACCAAAAAAAAGAATCCGAGAATTCTCCCGCCAAAACGGAGATCACAGAGGTGCAGAGGGGCATTTCCGTCCTTCACATTGATCTACTTGCTGGCCAAGAGAGCAAAACCCGAGCCCGTTTGGACGTACAGGCACGGCACCGTCGCGAGCGGCGCTCTCCGCTCTGGCCTCTGCCGATATAAACCCCACCCACTCCGTTTCAGCCGCAGCAGCCTTTTCCCTCGCCCGCAGCTGAGCAGAGCAGCCATGGCGGCTCCGCCGTTCCACCTGCCCCTCCTCCTCGCCTTTCTGCTCCTCTCCACCGTCGCCGTCGCCGCCGCCACCCACTCCCAGCATCTCCACCTCCAGCACCGCGGCCACGGTCCCCACCACCACCACCACCGCTCCCCGTCCATGATGACGGCCACCGCCCGCCTCGACACCGCGCCGTCCATGCACCAGAACCGCATGGAGTCGGAGTCGGAGGAGACCCGCCAGTCGCTGCGCGTCCTCTACCCCTTCTTCACCACCGTGGCCGCCCAGGCTCCCTCGGGCGAGGACGCCATGGCGGCGATCGGTGCGGCCGCGGACGCGGCGGACACCACGCGCCTCGACCTTCCGTCGCCTCCCCCTCCCCTCCTCGCCGCGGGGGATCCGATGCCGCCCTCCCAAGCGCCGCTGCAGCCGCAAGCTGAGAAGGCGGGGTCGTCCGAGTCGGAGCCCGCGGCTCCTCCTCCCGTCGTCCACGAGCCGTACCGCGACGCGGCGATCCCTCGGCCTCCTCCTCCCGTCGCTGACGAGCCATACCGCGACGCGACGAGCCCTCCGCCTCCTCCACCCGTCGTCGACGAACCGTACCGCGACGCGGCGAGCCCTCCGCCTCCTCCTCCCGTCGTCTACGAGCCGTACCGCGACGCGGCGATCCCTCCGCTTCCTCCTCGCGTCGTCGACGAGACGTACCGCGACGCGGCGAGCCCTCCGCCTCCCGTCCACGACGACGCTGCGCGGGTGGTGTCCTCGGGCACGGGCAACGACCTCGGCCTGCAGCAGATCGCCAAGGTGCTCGCGTCGCTGGGGTACAACGAGATGGCTTCGTCGGCCACGCTCCTCGCCGACACGGCGTCCGTCGCGGCATGGCCCGGGGCGATCACCGTCTTCGCGGCCCCCGACGTATTCCTCCAGCACTCCTGCCCCGAGTGCTCGCGACGCCACCTCCTCCTCGACCACATGGCCCTGGGCTACTTCCCCTACGCCGAGCTCGCCGCCGCGCCCGCCATGAAGCTCCCGTCGGCCTCCGTCGGCTTCTGCCTCGACGTCGCCGCCCAGCCACAGCGCGGGCCCTTCTCCATCCACCACGCCAGCCTGTACGTCAACGGCGTCATGGTCTCGGAACCTGAGCTCTACGACGACGGCCGCTACGTCGTGCACGGCCTCCACGGCTTCATCCCGCCGCTCTCCCGCGCCTCCTGCGTCGAGGACGATGCGCATGCGCATCACCACCACCAGGTCCACCTCCACCACTACCTCCGCCACCACCACCTCAGCGCCAGATCGGCAGCCACCTCCGCTGCGACCGCCGCCTCCGTCGTGCGCATCATGATCCGCGAAGCCATATCCCGCCTGCGCGACAGCGGCTTCGGCTTCGTGGCGCGGGCCATGCGCGTCAAGTTCGCAGAGCTGGAGAAGTTGTCCAACCTCACGGTGTTCGCGCTCGACGACCAGGTCATCTTCACCGGTGGAGGCCACGGCTACGTCTCGGCGGTGCGCTTCCACATCGTCCCCGGGCACCGCCTCACCCGCGCCGACCTCGTGCTCCTCCGCCCCGGCACCGTACTTCCCACCCTGGCCGGCGAGGACCAGAAGCTCGTCATCACCCTCGGCGCCGGCTCCGCCACCGACGAGGTCCGGATCAACTACATACCCGTGAAGGAACCTGACGTGGTGATCAACTCGCGCGTCGCCGTCCACGGCATCTACCTCCCGTTCCCCCGCCTCCACCTCGCCAACCTCGCCGCCTCGGTGGCCGTCGCCTCCGACCTCCTGACGAACGACAGCTGCGGCGTCGGGGGACCCTTCGGCGACTGCGCCTCCACACCGATGACCTCTGCGACGATCCCAGCTGATCAGGGCTACGGCTAAGGGCAGTGATGCGTGAGCCCGTCCGTTCTCTTCTTCTTTGTTTCTTAGCAACTAGTAGGATTTTGAGCTTGCAGTTTGGTTGTTAGATGTGGGATGAGATTTTGGTAGTCGGATACTCGGATTGATGGATGTTCATGTCGTCGCGTGATGAAATGTGTCGCACTGCTGCATGGTGAATGAATTCTTGATGGAACTTTATGTGGCGATGCTGTTTTGCATGCTTTGGAAAATTACTCATGGTCTGTTCAGTTCTGTTCTGCATCTGTTTGCTCTGTTCTGTGGGTAGTTGTTACTGTTGCATTTCATATATGTTGTCTCTGAATGTCAGTGCTAGCAATGTGTTGATTTACCCATTTGTGTTTGATAGATTAAGTTTCAGCAATCTATCGTGGTGGTAGTTGCTTGTTGGTACATTAACTTCATATGTGTCTCAACTGACCATGGTTTGCTTGAAACATTAAGTCCACTTTGTGATAGTAGTTGCTTGCTCTCTGAATGTCTAGTTCCAGCAATCTATTGATCTACCTACTGTGAAACTGTGATTTGATAGATCTCTGTTGATCATGGTTTGCTTGGTATATTCAAGTTCAGATGATCAAGCAATCATCTCCTCAAGTCTGTTCAGCTGTTAAAAAATGTGCTCTTATGATTTATCCCTTTGCCATTTCTGATTGTGAGTAGATCCCAGTTACTTGTGGTCTGCAGTCTGCTTGGTCTTGGTACATCCAGAGTCCTCTGATCAAGACCAAAGTTCGCCTAGAGTTGCACTGTTGGGAATTGGGATCAGGTAGTCATATATGGTTCAGGATGCATAAAGATGAGTTCATGTGGAATGTCGTGCTAGATGGTTCCGAACATGGACAGAGTATCGTGCAATGAATGAAACTTCCGTTGAAATTTGAATTGCGATGCCGTTACCTTTCTGAAAATGGTAGTGTGTTCTGTTTTCCTCTTTGTGATTCGTTTCATGTCCATTGATGCTCCAGCATGAGTGCTCTCTGAAGTGCCGTTTAGATCACCAGTGTCTAGTGGAAGTGTAGAACACAAGCTCTGATATCTGAACACAAAAGTTGGGAATCATCGGCTTCTCTGGATTTCGTAGAGATCTATATTAGAATTTACAACATCGAAACAGTGATGGTGTGGGTATGTCTTTTTCCAGCACAGTGTGCTTTGCTGTTTCAGGATTTTCATATGTTCTTATAACTTGGATCCTGGACCTGGACTCTGCTCACCTATATTTCTGTTGGCCAGTTACTGAACGTTGGCATGCTTTGATATGCATGCATGGATTTGTATCTAGTTCATTATTTATCTGCCAATGATATGTTTTCTGTTCAAATAAAATCCCAGCTACACTAAATTTATAGGCTTGCAACCCAACCTGATTACCTGAATGCCTTCTCACTCTTCTTACCTATGTCTTTATTGTGCTCAGAAATATAATCTGTGGTGCATGACATATCAATTGCCTGGCGCCCTGGCGCAATAGTGAAAATGAAATCGTTTACCAGAACACTGGGAGGATATAAGTTTTTTTTTTATTTCCTGGTGATGTATTGTGATTCCAGTAAAATTTAAATGTGAAAATGGGAAGGAATACTTGATATCAAAAGTGCAATGATAATTAAACTGTCACAGCCATTTATTCGTTTTTTTAGGGGAAAGTCACAACCATTTATTCAGGAAACGCCCAATGTACGCCGGGTTGCGGTGGCTTACTGTCAACCATGCAGAGTGTCATATGTTTTAGTTCTTCTACCAACCATCTCATTAGTAAGCCCTGTTGAAATCTGTGGAGTTCTGGGCATTTTCCTGCTTTTCTGTTGTGCTTTTGCCCATGCAGTTGAACTTAAGAACCCCTTTTTATCTGGGATAGTGGACTT